CAACACCAGCCTGTAACATTTCCAAGCTGGTGGGCTCTTTACTTCGGCTTTGGGAGCGTACGAGCTTCTCCGTGCATGGATCCTCTTGGAAACTGCCATTATTCCTTAGCTTGAAAGGGAAAGCAAGGCAGGGGACAGCCTGGTCACCAGCCATCAGGAGACTCCCATTACACACCCCACTCCTCAGGGTCTCCAGCCCAGGCTGAAGCTGATTTTAATCCTGAAAAACACAAGAAACACCCATCCGCATTTCAGGAGGATGCTCTTGTGATTCCTGGTGCAGATGACTCCATCCTGCGAAGGCACATGCTCCTCAGAAGACAGTGAAGTCACCCCATGAATGGTGCTGTCTGTCCACAGCAGCCAGCGAGCAACGTGAATAGTCCTGTTGTACCCGGCCCCAACGTCTCAGCTCTCTTCTCGTAACAGCCGTCTTTCAGGGCATAAAGTCTTCTCAATAATTCCTCCTTATCAAGCACACCCAAGTGCTTCATCCTCATCACCTTCTAAGCTGGCATCCACTGCTGCCAGTACCCTCTCACCCATCCTTCACGGCCCACCTGCAGGGCAGACAGCACTTGATGGTGAATTTGTAACCACGGGATGCTCTCCATAACCCCGGGGGGATGCAAGGGCACTTTGTCATAGAATCATAGAATGGTTTGGGTTGGAAGGGACCTTGAAGATCATCAAGTCCCACCCCCCTGCCCTGAGCAGGGCCACCTCCCACCAGCCCAGGTTGCTCCAAGCCCTGTCCAACCTGGCCATGAACACCTCCAGGGACGGGGCCTCAACAACAAGTTGTATTTTAATTGCCTTATTTGTTCTATAGCAACTATTCTCTGTCCCATATACTATATGCCATACTATATAATAAGGAGCTTCCCAGAGGAGGAGAAGTAGTTTGCCAGCTGTATGAGACTCCTCAGTGTTCACGGGTCAACTCTTGCAGCAAAGTAAATGGATGTTGGAGGGAACTCAGGAGGAGAAGACATCAGCAGTACAGTATCTGTTATGAGAGATGCGGCTCTTCAAACTGCAAATGCTTCAAAGGCTCACAGAGAAGCCAAAACCTTGTGAAGCCATCAGAAATGGGGCACGGGTGCCACCCCCAAGTCTTCATGTATTACCAGCGCACAGATCCTAGGAGGGCACTTACAACCGGCAGGAAGCAATATCTCCCATCACGTCTGACAATTATTGCCAGCAGTACTGCGGCTTAAACACCACAAGGACCTTTGTGCCCTTCTTTCCGTGGCAAGTTGTATGTTCAAACACTACAAGACCATCCTCTATT